ACATACACTATTGATAAAAGTATTCATTAGACAGTTCAATTAACATACACTATTGATAAAAGTCTTCATTATACAGTTCAATTAACATACACTATTGATAAAAGTATTCATTAGACAGTTCAATTAACATACACTATTGATAAAAGTCTTCATTATACAGTTCAATTAACATACACTATTGATAAAAGTATTCATTAGACAGTTCAATTAACATACACTTGTGTTAAAAGAGTTCATTATACAGTTCAAGTAACAATAACTTTTGTTGAAAGAATTCATTATACAGTTCAATTAAAATTCACTCCTTATGTTAAGGGTATGTGATTTGGGTTCCAATCAACACATTATATATTAGAAGTATTTTTCCAAAACATACTTACCTCCTTTTACATTACAGCTATTACTTTACTGCCAGGGTTTCTTCCTTTGGCCATCTAAGCATTGGTCTGATTTTGTTTCATTTGCTTGAGTCTTTCATATCCCACTTAATTGCCCTTGGTGATATTTGTCTCATGACACTCTCCACCTAGGTCAATGCACCCTCTATCCTGGTAGTTTATGTAAGCACCTCATTCAGATAATGTTATTACTTTTTCTTGACAAAACGTTCACTACAGGTTTCTCCGTACAATGACTGTTGGAGATATTTTGAGCATTCTTCATGTTACGTAGTTAATTTTTGTTTAAAAAAAGACATTTTGATTGACAAGCTGATATACGTTATGAATTCCTAGATTATTAATTATTATTTCTGGCACAGAGGCAAATCAGGTCTCTCCTATCCCACTTCTGGTATCTAGCAGCACACAACAATCGGGTCAACTTTTTCCTGTGCCTTCTTTTATTTTGTTGGTTTCTCAGTCCTCCTGTGGGACAGTACTAAGTTTGCAGACTTACAACGCTGAAGTTCGGTATTCGATTCCATATAGTTGACATAACAGATAGATCAACATTGTTTTGCTCTAGCGAAACAAACTCACTTGACAAAATTTTTTTACAAACAACGGTAATCAGTACAGTCTTAAAAAAAATAAAAAAGGAGGTCACTTTTGGATAAGCTGCCTCTGATTTGTTTTCTTCAGTTGGTCCATCGAGAACGTGATGTTTTGGGTCTCTACCCATTTGCTTTTGAGCCTGCATCTTACTTGATGGCTGTTAGGTCTAGGAGCAAATATTTAGTTTTCTCTCCATCCATGGACATTATGGTTCATGCAGGGGGGTTTACTGCTCAGTTACATGAGGGGACAGCTATGCCTTATCCATCTTGGTTGTTGGAACTACATGATTTAGCCTACCACCACCTGGTGGAAGCATATTCTGGCTTTCAAATAAAACAATTGTTCCTCGAAATTAGGGGTTCTAAGGTGGGGTTTGTAGTTAACCTAAATAGATCAATGTCCCCTGGTGGGACAGCAGTAAGTCTATGGAATAACATTCAACGTGTTGTCATCCTAACACTACATTTTGTTGGAAGACTCTCAGAATCACCAACTACATTGATGACGAGCTGGAACCATTGTTAGCATGCACAGTTGTCAGCTTCTACATCATCCCTGTAGTCGTTGGCATCTCGACTTTCATTGGCTTCTCCAGGGGGTCATAGTTCCGCCCCTATTTGAGTGTCCCGACCTCTGACATCAGCCCTCAGTACGTTGGTACCCAGGATAGATTCTGTCCATACTTAAGGATTCTGCTACTCTGTCAGAATGCCGCCAGCGCCATCGGTGATTATTGTATGTCTTCGGGGTCTGTGGGAGCTCGGCTCCGAGAATTTCTGGATGTATGGTAACCTTAACCTTGGATCCATGGGCACTACAGGTCCTTGAGTCAGGATTAGTTATTCAATTCACCACCATTATCCATCCACTCTGTAGGGTTTCTGTCTTCCGCAGGTCTTCAGATTTTGGAACTTAGTTTTATGGCTATCACAGTTTGGTTGGTCTCGGGGTAGAAGGAGGGAGAGTCGTGCTAGTTATTCCAGGGTTTTATTCCCGTTGGTCCAATCTCCTAAGAAAACAGGAGATTGGTGTCCAGTCATTGATCTTTCTTGTCTATATCAATCCGTAGATTCTTCAAGATTCACAAGTGACTCATTCCTCAATCTGAATTAGCATTTTTAGGGACCTTGCTTCATTTACTTATTATATGGATCCTGCTCTGTGACAGCCATATTTACTCGCACTTTATCTTCCATGGCTTTGCAATGCTCACTGTTGAGATGGGATGTTCCACAGTATCGCTTGTAGGTGTATAACCTCGCAATGTAATTGCTTCATAAACTTGCCCATTCCAGACCATACCACCCTTGGACTGCATGGGTAAAGCAGAAGAGGATAGCTGCCCATCCCTGCCATACCTTGTATTGAATAAGTTGGTATGATTTGCTTTTCAAAATAAGGTTTTGTGGTCACCCATTGCAATATCTCAGGTGATGTTTCTCTGGACTCTCCACCACATTCTCACCCTCCTATCTTCTAGTGGAGTATGGGAGTCGTTGCCACTTTCCAGTTCCAATCTGCTGGGGTGGTTGACCATGGAGGCACCCTCCTGGATGGGCTCCACACAAAGATGGCTATAACCATTTAATGCAGAGTAGGGTGGTGGTGTTATGCAGGGGTAGATGATATGCTATCCTCGATTTTGAAATATACACTCACAAAGGAGTGCGATGTGAAATTGCAGTTCACCCCTTTGATAAGAAGCCCTTATCATACCCCTGCATGGATGTCCGTACTCCGTGACTGGGTTTTGGATTTAGAGTAGAACCAGTCAACATAAGTCCTCCCTCAATCATACTCCTTCTTTGTTGTGGGTCACAGTGGAGGTAAGGGGGATTGTTCCAGTTCTGTCCTCTTTGTTGTCCCTCTTTGTATCTTATTCCAAGGATGTTATTGCTTTTTAGATGGTTTCAGTCAGTTTTGCTGTTGAGAGAGTTGACTTATATTATATAGACATCCTTTCGATACCAGATGTCAGTTCCCCGTATCGATAGATCAAAGCTAACACATGTCATGTTCAGTAGTCAGAGGGGTTCTAGATTCCCTCTAATATGATGGTATGATCCTCACCCTATCCCCGTGTGGATGTCAGTTTCCAGCAGCATGGGGTTTGGATGTAGTGGACTTACCAAGTACGGTCTGTTGTGCCCTAGCCACTCTACACCCATTGTTATACCCACTTTTATAACTTTGTGGGATTGAGTTGCATATATATTTACATGGTTAGGATCACATATCCTGCCACAGTTCTCTCCCACATGGATGTGCTCCTCTCTTTTCCTGACCTTATCTACTACACGTTTCATGGATGAGCGAAGAGTATACCTGGTTCAGAAGTGGTGCGGTTCCCCTCATCAGATCTTCAGATCTGACTCTCTCATTTCCAGGTAATGCATGATGATTTGCATGAGGACATGTTGGAATCATTTGATCCCAATAGGGGTGTGTGTGGAAGGCTTGTGGTATACATAATAAAAGAGGTTTGCATATAGAGGGCAGCACTGCACAAGAATAGCTAATCTTGTGAGTGGAGGGAATTACGTATTGGAAATACATTTTCAGTATAGTAATATTATAACATTTCTTTGAGTCCCCAGTACTCTCCGGCTTCTTCAAGTCACTTTTGGTCCTTTGTCACAAACGACCATTCCCGTTACCTAACTGGTATATTAAGGCTACATTACATGCTCTTTCTCAACACCCATTTGTGACCTTAGCCTTAGATGCTATGTATCAACTTTACCTGAAGGTTTATTTTTCATTGCTGCTGACCTACAGAAATCACCAGTCAGAGTGGTTTGCACTAATTGTCCATAAGATGCTTTATCATTCTACCTACTTCCTCAGACCATTTCTTCTTCTCTAAGACACTGTCAGTCATGGAAAGGGATAAATCCTTGTCATTGATTCATCTGATCACTATTTCTCACTTCTATGACCAATCAGATTTTGATCTTTTATTATGTCCAGTGAGGGTCTTGAAGGTTTTATTGCTTGCACTAATGCCTTTAGAGATGCTATACAATGACTTTTTATTCATTGGGATCATTCAGTTTCTCAGGATTCATCATTGGTTACATTGACAAGGCGGGTACGGAATTGTTCCATATCACTTATTCTGGGTTCTCTTTGAAGGCAAGGAATCTTCTGTGAGTCACATATAATCAGATTTAGCACGTTTCTATGTTCCTAGCAGCCCAGTAGAATATTGCATACTGGAGGACATTGTGCAGGCTGATATGTGGGCCTCCCCCCAATACTTTTATCTCACATTATTTGCATGATCTGGCAGTATTTTCATCTGAGGGTGTATGACTACCCCTGTAACTATCTTAACCACTTCCACTAGATTATACAGAGGGGTGTGTATTTTCATTACTAGGCTTGTCTCTTCTTTACCTTTCAGAGTCCCATATCTTGTTTTCACAGGATCCCACTCTCTGGTGGGTGTTGTCCAGGCAGGTGTGCTTTTATCATACCAATTCTGCACTAGCAACCACTAATTCAGTATGCTTTATATAGGTTGCAACACACACTGTAGAAATGAGGTGTTAAGACCACCTAGAGGCTGACCAAGTGGTATTACTGTACTATGCTGTACTTCTACTCATGGAATATCATAAGTAAAGTATAATGTGATCCTGCCCATCATTGGATTGAATAAATTGGGGTCAGTTTGCTTTTGAAAACTTAGGAAACTTAGTTCGCCTATTGCACTGTTCCTCAGAACTCCCCAGTGTGCATTACCCGTCAGTTTCTTCCAGTGGAGCTAGGGAGTTGTTACCAATCATTAGGAATGGTGGACAGAGGCCAGGGTGTTAGAGTGAATTTTCTCCACTTTTGGAGAAGAGGGCGAAGTTGGGGACCCTCCTACTCAGGTTCCTGGGTGTTTTTCCCAGATGTTGGTAGGAGAGGCACCAGCCTACGTGGTAACCTACTCTTAATACAAGTTCAGATTTGACGCTCGGCTATTGGGTTTGGTTGAGCATGACCCTTCTTTCTGATCAATATTGATTCAGTACATTGTTCATCCTGGGTCCTTGGAATTTACCTTGCCCACAAGGTTTGGAAGTGAGAATGAGTGTTCATAAATCCAGACCAGAGTAGTTCTGTTTCCTCAGGTTGAGTAAGGCATACAAGATCCCATCATGCTGAGCCTGAGGTGTTGCCTTTCAGACTTCTTCAGGTTGAGGAGAAGGTTTGTCCACTTTGGTGTTGCTTAATCACTCATCGTGATTGTGGTGGCTCGGAATGTATCACTATGGCTATTGATTGGGATCCACTCATAAGTATGTATTATATATATATATATATA